CATTCTAGACAATACATTTTTTACACATTATATACATTTAAGAGGTTTATTTTTCATAGTTTATACGAAGTCAATCCGAATAGCATAAAAACTGTGTAGGCGGCATCTTCTTATAAAATCAAGCATATGCGTGCAACAGTCTAGGAATTGTAATTCCTAGGCTGTTGCACGCATATGCCTTATTTGAAGGAGTAAGAACCAAAAGGGTCTACGCAACAAATTTATTTATTTATTTATTTATTTATTTATTTATACTCCTACAAACACATGTAAATGTAGGTACTTAAATGTAAGAGTGCTTACTGGATAAACTAGACTTAGTCTAAACTAATAATTAAGACTATGTATAAAATAAGAGGCAAAATATAAAAATATAAAAAACAGACGAGGAACAGAAACAATAAACCAAAAATATAAAAACAGAAAAAAAAAGAGAAAAAAGTGATTCACTCATCACTATAGATAGGCGATCACAAATGATGGATTTTGAAATATTTGGAGTTAAAGTTTCTGTAAATTCTGTAGATATTTTGTCATTATTATTTTTATGTTATTTGATGTATAATATGTAATTGTTTTTTGTAATAATTATGAAAATTTGCTAATGGTCTTAAATTTTTTTTGTTAATGTCACTTCGACCCTTCTGGTTCTATGCATTGAAAGGAAAAAAAAAATTGTTTGCAATATTTTTATTAGGAAAATACATCTTATCAATACAATACAAAACATGAGAGCATTTTATAGTATGCTTTACATTAAAAAATACTTTAAGTAGTCAGAAAGTACTACATCATCTTCCTAATCAGTTTCATCTTCTTGTTCTTTTTTCGAACCACTTGATTTACGTTTTGCCTTCTTGTTGAAGACTTTCATTTTTTGATAAAAATCGTGGTATATCGGACGAATATAAGGCAGAAGTTTAATTAAATTTCCCCATTTTACTTTTTTTTATCTTCAACATAGTCTTATAAATAATTTTTCTATGGATAAATTTGGTCTTCCTGCTGAAAGCGCAGAGCATTTTTGAGATTGAGTTGGAGGAAAATTTGAGTTTCTGGTTATGTTAAACAGAAAACATAGAAAATCTTCATGTCTGTATGTAAACCAATTAAAAAGTCAATAACTGTATGCACACTAGACAAAAATGACATACTAAACGGAATTTCCCGCCTCCATATACAGGTCTGCGAATTTAAGAGTTTGAAATAATACAAGTCTTAAACGTTCCAAGTGATCTTAGACCATTTCGCTATTTCGCATATTAATGAAATTTGAGGATGCGTTTAAGGGCAAAATGGTATAAGTGATCTTAGACCTTTTTGTTAGGAGCCAATCGAAGATTTCTGTTAACATGGAATTTTTAACTGCCAATAGATGGCGGTTATTGTCAAAAAATACTTAGATCGTTTTGCCCTGGAATAGTTTTGAGGTTTGGAACCCGAATATGCACTTAACTCATTTTTTTTTTTTCAAATGTCACTTAGATCCTCTTGGTTCTTACCCCTTTATTTGATAAGAAGATGCCGCCTACACAGTTTTTATGCTATTTGAATTCACGTCGTATAAACTATATACAGGGTGACACTTTAAAAACTTAAAATGGCTATATCTCAGGAACCAAAAAAAATATAAAAAATCGCTGGAAGCAAATCCTATAGTAGGGAGGGAGAAACAAAATTATGTAACAACTAACTTGTTTTCACTTACCTCCTCACCCCCAGATGACATCCCCCTACTTGTGATACCTTATCTGAAAGCCCTTATGCTTTTCAATGGTACCCTACAAAGCTACATTCGATGTAATAGTTTTTGGTTTATTAGATAAATCATTTATAAACATTAGATAAACATACCATTAGATAAATTAGATAGAAAAACATAACATAAACATTAGATGAAACATTATTAATTTAATAAATGTTCAATGATTTCCGTTATTTTCTAATAATGATAGAGTCTATTTTCAAACTCTTGACGTACAGGGTGTTTCCTTATATTTTGACCCCTACCTACAGCTTTAGCTATACAAGGTAGAAAAAAACTTTAACTATGAAAGTTGTAGGGTTTTATGTCTATTATCTTTTGCGAATGTCAAAATGGGCAAATGACAGGTGCCAACTGTCACAATGACAAACACTTGCATTTTTCAAATGGAACACCCCATATATTTTTGGCTAGAATGATGGATTTTTTTCTTCTGATTCCAAATATACCATATACAGTGTGCGCCATAAAGTTGGGTACATATGGGAAAATTCTTAATTATTCCTTTTTTCAAAAAACTTTTTTTGGGGATCGTTAGGGCATATTCGATAACCAAAAAATCGATTATGACACATGTCATATTATTTTCCTGATGACCAGAAAATTTGCAAAAAGGGACATTGGTACAGTTATAGCAACACGACCAGACGGTATTTTCTAATTTATGACCTTCAAGTGTGTATTTCGCAAAACAATCAATTCGTTTGATATCAAACCTATATGTAGTTTAGTTGAATAAAGCTATTTTTGAAATAAAATTAATATTTTCGATTTTCCATTTAATGGTATGGGTAAAATAAGTAGTTTTTTTTTTTTTTTTCTGATTTGCTTCAAAATCGGCATGTGGAGTTCTTTTTGGATTCTGAACAACTTTTTCTTATAAAATTTTTTGATATCTTGTCAAATTTACCAGTTTTTCGACATCAATATCAACTTTTTTCAAAATTCCCGCTTAACCGATATGCGCATGACATGTGTCATAATCGATTTTTTGGTTATCGAACATGCCTAAACGATCCTCAAAAAAAGTTTTTTGAAAAAAGGAATAATTAAGAATTTTCCCATATGTACCCAACTTTATGGCGCACACTGTATGATGATATTTGGTTCAACTGTTTTTACGCTATTCGAGTTCAAAAATGCATTTACATTACCCTTAATTTAATCTGTCCTGGTTTTTTATATCAATTGCTCAATGCAATTTTAAAATTAAATAGCGCAAAAACAACTAAACCAAATATCAATATACAGGGTGTCCCACGAGGTTTTTCCCAAATTATAATTTCGGAACACGTCATCGCATGTTCCACGTGTAATTTCTTTAGCATTTTCTCTAACAAAGCCTCAACCAATATGGGCATTACCGACTTCGTAATTTAATTTTCTAACGAAAAATGCCATAATATACCATAAGTAACATTTAATATTCTAAAGTTGCCGTCACTTGACCAAAACTGAAGCGAAGGTGGTGAAATTGAATGACACATGTAGAAGCGGCATAAAAAGTTACCCAGATCCTCAAAATTTCATTTACATTGGATGACGCGTTCCAAAATTATCACATGGTATATATATGGTAAATTTGGAATCAGAAGAAAAAAAGCTATCATTTTAGCTAAAAATATACAGTGTGTTCCATTTGAAAAATGCAAGTGTTTGTCATTTTGACAGTTGGCACCTGTCATTTGGCCGTTTTGATATTCGCAAAAGATAAAAGACATAAAACCGTACAACTTTCGTATTCAAAGTTTTTTTCCACCTTGTATAGCTAAAGCTGTAGGTAGGGGTCAAAATATAAGGAAACACCCTGTACAGGGTGGTCCAAATTGGACACTTTCTTATGGAAACACCCTTTATTTTTAGAGATAGAAAAAAATGGACCCCCCACTCTGAGGCTCAAATTTCATGACATCTTGATTGGTGCAAACTGCATTTTGATATCTTCAACCGTTTAGCCGCTAAAGGGCGATTCTCCATTTTCAGCAATACTGTAAAGTCTCCATAACTTTTCTGTTTATGAAAATAATTCATTTCTGTCAATCAGAATTCAGTGACATTTTCAGTTTTTTTCTGTTTGGCTTCGCCTTCAAGATATTGACCAAAACCCGATTTTTTTCAATAGGACACCCCTTATAATCTCAGTGTGGTATTTTCGAAAATTTCATCTTAGTCTATCAATCAAGGGTCGGCCTATTCTTTAAAACTCTCCAAATATTGTACATTGTGTACAAGATAAGGATGGCATAGCATTAGGATGAGGAGAACGGTTGGAGTTACAATGTTGGTTAGATTAGGAAACAGTTCCGGAATTTAACGCTCGATGAAATGGTATTTTGACATTTGAAAACTTGTGAATGTCACTTCATCGTAACAGCTTTTTCTACTCTACAAGATGAAATTTTCAAATTTAAAATCTGACGTTTCGTCTTTGGGCCACCATCATCAACTTCATTTTTTTTAAATAGGGCCCCTGATTCTCCATTTCAGGTTTCAAGAGCTTCTGTTGTCCCAAAACCTATAACGTATCGCATTTTTCCGGAGTTTTCACTTCTTAGTAACTTCCTACCAAAATTCTCTTCTCTGTCTCTCTCATATTGGGTTCGTATGAAAAGACAAGCGCCAATAATATAAACTTTTCGAATAAGTATAATAGGTGATTGGTTTCGGGATATCAGAAGCTCATAAAATCTAAAATAGTTAATAAAGGTCCGTATTTAAAAAAATTAAATTGATGATAGCCCAAGACGAAACGTCAAATTATAAAATTGATAATGCCATCTTGTAGAGTAGGAAAAGTGGTAACGATGAAGTGACATTTGTTTTGGAATAGGTATCTCCTCAAAAAAAAAATGGATTCTGCAAAATTTCGGTTTTTTCCGGATATCTCGGAAAAGGTTCGGAATTTTTCAAATGCCAAAGTACCATTTTATTGAGCGCAACTTTTTCCTAATCTAACCAACATTGTAACTCCAGTCGTTCTCCAGATCCCAATGCTATTCCATTCTTATCTTGGACACACTGTATATGAGAAATCATTTTTAATGTTTAAAAAAATCTTTATTTAAGTATATCAGTGATACTAAACTATTTGGCCATTTTGAAGTTGAGAGTCATTCTTTATAAAAATAAGGATTACACCAGCTTTTCTATTGAAATCTGCGCTAGATAACTCTAAGATAACAAATATGTATACAAAAAAAAAACATATGTGTAATATTCAAATTATTATTTTCAGGACGAATTCGAAGAGAATATAGAAAAGATTGAACCCACACTGCCTCCTCCACCAACAAATCAAGACTTGCCTGTGAACCTCGCCGTGGACGAAAAACTAGTAATGAAACTAATGGAAGTGTTTCCCAACGTTGCACCAGATTACTTGCGAATTATTTGTGCGGGAAAGCAATGGTCCGAGGGTACTTTCGAACAATTAATGGATACAATATTGACATTAGACAATATTCCCACGCGTCCAGAAAGACCGGTTTCGCCAGAAAAGGAAATTGAACCTCAAGAACAATTGGCGATGCTGAAGTCGATGTTTCCCGACGCAGATCCGACATATTTGGAACGAAAAGTTAACGAATTAATTGGCAACAAGGTTGCAATGACAGCATTTATAGAAAAAGCCATGGACACAAAAGACTATCCCACTATGAAGGAGTATTTACGTCAACAACAATTATCTGCCCAACACAGACAGTACACATCGGAATTTAAAGTGGAAAAGTTTGTAGAAATATTTCCAGATCCGGTAAAATTTTTCGAAAATCCTGAGAAAAAAAGCAATATTGCACTCTCTGACAAGTACTATATCAAATCTATTTTGAGAAGGAAATACAATCAACTCTATGTAAAGGACATTAATTATGCCATTGAATGCACTGCACATACTAATATTTTAGCTATGGTGAATTATTTAGAAACACGCTTAAAAGCTGGTGCGATAAAATCAGTAAAAACAAATTCTACGATAACTAGGCCCGACTCACATAACATCACAATACCTTTGCTGCAAGAACTCGCCTATTTCGAACACAAAGAAGAAATTCTTAAGTATCTGGAAGAGAAAAAGGATGAAGCAGCAAAAGATCGACTTGAAGCCAAACAACTGGGTCTCATGCAAAATTGTAGCTGCTGCTTCGACGATGAAGTCATGCCTTTAGATATTCTCACTTGCACTGGAGGCTGTAGGTTCTGCAGGGAATGCATCAAACGTAGCTCCGAAGTAGCTTTTGGTGATGGCAAAATTAACTTCCCTTGTCTTTCCGATGGGTGCAATGAAGTATTCAGTCTACAGATGCTACAGAACGTGCTGGATCCAAAATTATTCTCCAAAATAGCACAAAAACAAGCCGTAGCTGAAGTGAAAGCTGCAGGATTGGAAGACCTGGAATCCTGTCCTTTTTGCGATTTTGCTAATATTCCAGCTCCTGAGGATAAAATATTCCGTTGCCTCAATCCTGATTGCATGAAAGAATCTTGCAGGTTATGTAAAGAACCTTCTCACTTACCGTTGCGCTGCGATGAGGTCGAAAAAGACGAAGCAGTCAAAGCAAGGACTTTTATAGAAAATAAAATGGCAGAAGCCTTAATAAGGGAGTGCTGGAAATGCGGGGCTAAATTTATTAAGGAAGAAGGCTGCAACAAAATGACGTGCTCTTGCGGAGCCATGATGTGCTACGTCTGTAGACAACCAGTGAAGAACTATAAACATTTCAACGGTCAAGGTGGCGACCAATTTAATTTGTGTCCTCTGTACAGTGACAACATACTCAACAACGAGAAGAAAGTTTTAGAAGCGGCTGTCGAGGCTAAAAAACAGGTGGACCCGGCGCAATTAAAAAGCGACCCCACTGTCGCTGTTCAAAACTTGGCTGATAAAATTAAAAAGGCAGAGAAGAAAATGGAAAACTATCAGCAACGGGTTGCACAAGTAGATGATTTAGTGCAAAATATTGTGAATAATCCGATGTTGCCGAGGTTGGTACAATATGATAGGGTTATCGCAGCGGTGGCGGCTGCAGCTGGACCTTACGGGGGAAGACCTGTACCTGTTCCGGCTCCAGTTGACGCAGGACTTGCGCGTCAGGCTGCGATTCGTATGAGACAAGAACAAATGAGACGTGGTAGGGCATATAGGGGACATAGAAACTAATCAATAAATGTTTGAGCAAGTGAACACAGTGTGCCAACAATTCATTCGACATGTGCCTTTTCTGACTGAATCTGTGATGTTACTTTTTGCAGTAATGTTTGAATATTGAGTATGGGTCATTCATAATCATGTTTAATAATATATGAGTTATTCAAACATTTCTGTACCCAATAGTTAGCGGTGAATGAAATTAGCCACAGAAAACTTTATTTGTGTAAAATTTTGTCTATCACAAGTTTTGTTTAAAAAATATATATATATAAAATCAAATTATCATAATCCATACAATATGGTGTTTGACGAGGATGTGTTGTTGAAAATAGCATACTTTATAAGGTGTTTGACTTTTTTTGTTTTCATGCAAGAGCCGCTTTCGGGTGCTCCTAGGACCACTTCACACCTGTTAGTGACCTGTCATACTCCATGCGTTTGAATTCGAACGCTTAAAACTGAACGGGTCAAACTGTAGCCGGATTACTTCAGAGTAACTCAGGAGCGCTCAAAGGGTGGCACCCGAAAGCAGCTAAGGTCTTTCCTTTCCCATGTGCCCAATGTAAATAAGTTGTTAATAGTTACTCGGAAAAGCCAGTATAAAACAAAATAAGGTCAATTTTTCCTGATTCACATTAAGCCTGGTTTACTTTAATGTTAAGATTTTTTTGTTTGTTGATTTTCTTTCCTGTGGCAAATTTTATTCACTAGCAAATAGTCTATAGTATCGTTTTTATTATTATAACTCAAGTGAGTTTAGGTTGTACTTTTCTGTTGAAAAAAAAAATGGTGTAACTGGATTGATTCCAAAAACTGTATATCTCTTGTGCCTTTTTGTGAAGTGACCAAGTGACTCGACTGTTAGGCAAGTTAATGCCGATTCTCGTCTAAGCAGCATTGATAAGCGCAAACTACAGTTTAGATGAGAATAATTTAATAACTGTTTGTTTTTATTTGAATACTTTTTTGTTTTTTTTTTTAAGTTTAATAATGGCAAATACCATTTCCCCAAACCTGTGCTCAGGGATGTGATTGAAAAATATGCCTATTACCTTTATTGAATATAATAATATGGGCTGTGTCACTTAATTTCAGTGTACCTTTAAATAAGATCAGCTTTAAAAAGTATTACCTATCTGTCAAATCTTCACGTTAAGTTGGTGATTTTTTTAAAAAGTTTGTAAATTGTAAAATGTATAATCAAAATTATTTTGTTACTGAATAAATATATGATGTTTTTTTTTTATAATTGTTTTAATGCAAAATCTTAGGGACTTATACACTGGAGGCACTCTACGCTTTTATCAAAAAAGCATAGGACAAAGGTAGAGGGTGTAGGGACCAACACAGCTACATTGTGGTATATATCGTCCCCCTTATCACGTAGAGGCGTATATTGTTGTACAACATACAACAACATTCGCCTCTACGTGATAAGGGGGACGATATGTTTATATATATTTTTATATATTTCAAATGTCATCAAATGAAAGAGAATTGAACGCTCTTTTAAAAGAGGTATCATTCGACCCCTTGTTCCATTTGAAATAGCAAGGGTTGGTCCCACCCCGCCTAGGGCCGGTTTCTCTATAGCAGGTCATCTCCGAGTTAAACTAACTCCAGGGTAAACATTGCAATTTGACACGTTGACCCTGGAGTTAAAACCAACCCGGGGGTGACTCGGTATTGAGAAATCGGCCCCTAGATAGTTAAAGTTGAAGTGCTAAAAATCGTTGCAGAAAACTTCCCCCTTTGAAAATCAAATTACGTATATGAGCGATTTTTTAAAAAATAAACGTTGCATAAGATTTTTAGCCTGTTTCTTTTTAAATGGTATACCCTATATAAATTTCTTTGATATTGAACTACCTGTATCTCGAAAACTATTCACAGCATCAGGTTGGGCCTATGAGAACTTTTTATCAGGGAGTCAAGGTATACCATTGGGTATACCACATATCAAAATTTCATTCAGTTTGGCAGAAAATCAAAAACCCATAAGAAGTGTACTTATGTCCTTTTGCTCTGACTGATCACTATCTGACGGCTCTTCAGTTTCGTTCAGACACTAAAGTTCACACTTTTCAGAAAGTCAATAAAACGTTTGACCTTTGCGGCCATATTGATATATCGATACGAATTTGATATATCGATACGAATTTGTCATATCGATAAGGATCTTGAAAATTGTAAATTCCATCCTACTGAGGCTGAGTTCGGCTTTACACTCTGTGAACTAACTCTGAGCGCGCTCGAAACGATAAGATCCAGTTCGTTTTAGCTCTCGGTGTTCTCTTTTGCGTTGGGCTTATGACCGCGTATGACGTTACGATATCCATGCTCATACCGTTCCGCTCCGTGGAGTACAAAGCCGAATCTATTATCAGAGATCGTTGAATGGGATTTACTCAATTACTCAAAGTTATTGATTAGCTTACACAAGTTTTGGCCCAACTTTTCCGTGTGTCACATTAATTTTCTACAACTATACAGGATCTTCAATTTTTCTTTATATTAATTTTTTGTACGTAAGTGGATGTTGAATGATCCTCTAGCTATTGAACATCAAAAGAATAAAGTGACCATCTATCAGAGTCGCTTTCCAGTGACGCACTTAAAGCACTCCTGAGCTGCTCTAGAGCGCCCCGGGCTATTTATAAGCGTTCCAGTGCATTAGAGTTTCGCGCAACTGAACCGTTCGTTTCTCCTCTCCCCTGCCCTCTCAAGCACCAGCAATTTTTTGGGTGTATTCTTAGAGCAGGTAAAGGTAAAAAAGTATAAGATGGAGTCGGCAAATGAAGCCGAAATGTTTTTGCATTTTATGAAAAGTGGGTTCGGTGCAGGCTGATTCGCGTTCGTTTATCAAAATTTCAACCGCTCTGATACAGAGTTTAACTGCTCGGTGCGCTCGCTGGTCGCGTGATTACGGCTCTGCTATAGCACACGCTCTGCTTTTTGAGCAAAATACCGGATGCAAGCCTAGTGACGTTAGAGTTTGAAATCATTCAGAGTCGAATTTGTTCGTTTAGTGTATAAAGCTCTCTTATTTTTTTTAATATTTGATTTAACTGAACCGGCAATATTTTTAGTTCACTTCTTGTCATCTAGAGTGGATCCAGATGATTTTCTTGTTGGTGAAGGTAAACTGATCCAAATACAATCGAACACGGTCCGTTTACCTAAAACTAAATTGAACTATCGAGCTAATCTGCTGATCAATCGAATGCAGATCAGCAACGCCATATCGAAAAATATATCGTGAATTTTACTCTAAGCGCGCGTTAAGAAGTTTCACTGCAAAAAATTAATAATCATGGAAAGCTCGAGCACTACGATCAGTTTTTTCAATAGACTTGAACATGCAAGAAGGGGCTTTTACTTTCTAATAATAACTTCGATACGAAGGTAAAGGTTTTGAAAGCATATCGTATCGATTGGTATGAATATCGATAAGCCCTCCGCCCTCCTCTTTAGGATCCAAGCATATAAATTTTTCGGAGTTTTGGTTATACTTGAAATTAAAAATCCCTAGCTATGACAATCCGCATTATCTAAACTATGAAATTTTTTAATATTTTCAAAAATTGCTGCAGTAAAATGCGATCACACTATGCGTTTTTTTTTAGCGATGCGGTAAGAAGGGATGCGCTGTGACCAGGGGCCTTATTCTGTAAGGAAAGAACCGTTCGATTCGGTAGAATTTCTTCGATTGTGACGTCATTTTCGGTTTGGTAGCGCGAAAACCAAACTGAAAATGACGTCACAATCGAAGAAATTCTACCGAATCGAACGGTTCGTTCCTTACAGAATAAGGCCCCGATGAACTTTACTTATCACACTATCCCAGCGGGATCCGTTTGTGTGTGACAGATCTCATTTAATACAATGGATTTACACCATAGACATCCCGGCAAACCGGAGCGTTCTTGCCGCAGCTGTGAAAACGCTATGTGTGGCACCACACTAATGGGTAGTTGCACCCAAGAGTTTCACCAACACTTTTTGATCTTGGTTTAACAGTAATCTTGGTTTGAACTCAAGAAATCCATTGTACCGTTTCTTGAGCTTAATTTGATTTGAACTTGGTTTAACTTTGTTTCAGAGTGTTCTGACGTCATCACTTGAAGAGCACTCTGGGTGCGCTATTTCTGAACGTATTGGGGCGTTGCGATAAATTTCAATTGACCTTTTGTTTGGACGCCATATTGCGGTGCGCGAACATAGTTGCCAAAAGTAGAAAAAAAATTACTAGCGTACTTCAGTCTCGTTTTGTCCTCGCCAGAGTGTGGGCGGTTGGTTTAAGGAGCTCAAAGAGCTTCACCGGGTGGTGCACTAAAGGCGTGTAGAGACCAAATTTTGGCTCACCTCCGCGAGTAAAAACCGAGATTCATCGCCATCCGTGGATTTGTTTGCGTCTTTTTGACTAAGCCGGCTTAGATTCCTAGATAAACAGAAGGTTCACGCGTGGTTACGTTGGCAAAATGGCGGCCAGAGTCTGAGACTCGTGAAAACGCTGTTTGTTTTGACAGAAAAAGGTTATATCCGGTGTCAGCGATTGATCTAGGCAAATCCTGGATGTGCCTTTCACATTAAGAAAAATTGAAGATAGAAGAAAAGAGTGAAACAAATAGGGGATCTATGATATGGCCTAGAGCCAGACAACATCAGGGTCGCCACGAAATCGTGCTGGCAAATTGCCTCAGTAGCAGCGCCATTAAAACAAGCAAGCAAGCAACTAGCGTACTGTCAACATTAAAAACAAAAGTTACTGAATAAATTAGATTTAAAATTTGAATTTGCCGTCTTTCACAAATGTTTTTGAAAAGAAAAGCCATCAATTTTAGCTTCTATTGGGCAAAATAGAAATAATAGAATATCTACCTATTTACTTTCACCAATCAGAGAGAGAAAGTAAACAAACAAAAAGGATAGCAAGGATCAATCATTTAGTTACTTTTGTTTTTAATGTTGACAGCTTGTTAGTAATTTTTGTTTTCTTCTTTTGACAACTATGTTCGCGCACCGCAATATGGCGTCCAAACAAAAGGTCAATTATGTGAAATGTCAATTATGTGAAATCACGGCAAACCCGGTAAAATCCGCGGGGCGTTTTTCAACCCAGTCCCTGAGTGGGGTAATTTGGGCGCACTCTGGGCAAGTCAACTCTCGATTTCGGAACGATTCCGGCATAACGCTGCGAGTAAGCACCTGTTAATCTATGAACGGCTTAGATTTACTCCAGGGTCACTCTTACACCCAGAGTGCTATTTCTAAACGCAACCCTGATGTAGAATGTTTGAAACGTTGCTAGCTACGAAAATAGAAAAAACTAAGAAAATCAATAATGGTTTTGCCACAATAATGAGCAATTTTTCGCGAGGATAATCAAGCATAATCTTTTGCTGGATTAGTTGTATTCCTTTCAAGAGTTTGAAACACTCGAGCTACTCGCTCTGGTGTTCAGTCGCCCCCGATCTGCAGGGAATAGATGCGTGGTGTAACAAACACTTTTCGAAAAGAATAGGGACGTGAAGCCCCGGAGCTGTTCCAGAGCCCTTCCTAGGTGTGAAAGGAATACAACTGATATGTCAATTGTGTCATACTTCCCCACCATCAAACTCTGAGATGGCTTTGGTGATACTCGAGGATCAAGAACACTTGATTCTTGATTTCTTCTGTGAGAACCAAGGTCTGCGGGTCACGTCATCACTATAAGCTGCTGATAGTGAGGTCACTCGCAGGCCCAGAATTTGATGGAGAGGGAGTTAGGGGAATATGTTAAATGTTACCAACTGAAAATAGTGGAAATATATAAGTATATTACATTTACTTAAAAATCTTTTACCTACGAGCGTGCGGTAAAGTGCACTTTACCGCACGTATTTGCAAATGGAGTATCACTTTACCGCATAGTATGCGGTAAAGTCAACTTTACAGCATAGAATGCGGTAAAGTGAAATACAAAGTGTGCGGTAAAGTGCACTTTACCGCATAGTGTGCGGTAAAGTAGAATTTGATATTTATAATAAAAAATCCTCTCTTTTTCAGAAAATAGATTTTGGATCATTTCTAAATTTTATCTAATTTCATTAATTAATCTGATTCATTAATTAATTTTATCAATGCTTTTTCTGCGTGCGGTAAAATATCACTTTCCGCATTTGTTAGGTAAATAAGTAATATTAAATTATGAATTTCCACCTTGTAGAAGCCAATTCAATACAAAAGAGTATAACACAATTGATGTCACATCACATAACCTAGCATAATCAGATTATAGGCAATTTTTAGCGAGAATAATCAAGCATAATCTGATTATGCTGGGTTATGTGATATATCAATTGTGTCATACTCCCCTAACTCCCTCACCATCAAATTCTGGGCCTGCGAGTGATGTCACATGTCACTATCAGCAACTTATAGTGATGACGTCACCCGCAGACCGCGACGGAATGGTTGCGATTCGGGCTGTGCAAGTGAGTTGATTTTTTCGTCAATTTTAAATATAGAAAAGTCTATTTTCGGTCTGTTCCGACCAGTGATGTGCCTGTAGACAATGTCAACGTAAACAATTGATGGTCTACGCGTAGACAATTCGAATTGTTTACGTGAGCATTTGTCTACACATTGTCTACATGCGGCGTAAACAATAACTTATTTTAAAAAAATCGAAAAAAAAATATCAAAAGTTACTATACTATCACTATCACTTCGATATCAGCATTCACTGATTATAAAATATCAGGAAAACCAATAATAAAATAAAAAAAAATTAAAAAAAGGAAAGTGTGAGGTTAGAATTAAACGTCATTTATATTATTTTACATTGTTGACACGTTGTCTACATTGTCTACATTGTCTACACGTAAAGTAGACAATGAAAGTCTACGTGTAGACGCACATCCCTGGTTCCGACAGAGGAAATTGAGTGTTCTTGATTTTCGAGTAGATGATGGGTGAGTTAGGGGAGTATGACACAATTGACACATCACATAAACCGGCATCGCGAAAAATTGCCTATTAATTAGGAGAGCTTTATCGCTGTTGGTGAAATTGGCTGATCTCTTTTCCACTTGTGCTATTAGTGGATCCATTTTGTCAAATGAAGCAAATTAGCAGAAAAAAACTAAAAAATACAAAGGGGCCACTATGCTTCGATTCGGAAAAGCTTACAAAAAATAATTCACTTCTCAGGTTATATTTTCTATTTTACTTCTACATTTGACCAAACCGAGCTTAGTTGTTTGTCGTGCAATGTCAGGTCAAATGATCGGGATCTATTTTTGAATCTCAGTTTTATTAAACTTGGATTAATAGAATCTTGGTTCAACTAGCCATAAGTCGGTGCACGAAATTTATGACGTGACATGTCCACTCTACTTTACCGATTCCAGTGAGCAATCAATTCGAATTGTCAACTCTGAAGTACTCTGGACAGAACCAAATTTTATCGGGTTCTGGGACACAGCCGAATCTTGGGTGGGACATAGCCAGGAAAGGCAATTCAAGAGGGTTTATCGATACGATTCTCTTTCAAAACCCTTACTTCCTTTTCATATCGATCTTGATATGAGAAAATATCGATACTGCCGATGCAATATTTTTGATTTTTTATGATTTATACTGCCTGGATCTTTTGTAGAGAAGTAAAACTAGTACAAGACAAGTCCCTTCGCCCCTTTCTTGCTTGCATATATCAGTCCAGTGAAGAACTAGCTGCTCGTAGTGCTAAGCTCGTTCTTTTCATAATAGGTAAATAATTATTTGGGTAACTATTTTAAAATAGCTATTATAAAATTTAATGTGAGACTGCTAAAGACACATCAAACAAGACCAAACAACAATAATAATTTAATATTCATAGATAAAAATAATGGTCGCGTTCAACAAGTGGAATACACAAGGTAAAACAGTAACTTTTGATTAGCCTACAGCTGATTTACATCTGTTTAGTGCTAGTGTTTTCAACCCGCTGACTGATCACAAGTAATCACTCATGTTCAGTGCTGGTAAATGACTTTTAGGGAGCGCCTAATCGATACATATCGATATATTCTTCACCCAATTTTCTATTCCCCTCTCGACAATAATAGGTCTGTTCGCACAGCAATCACAAACCAGTCAGAATGAATTTCATTGGTTGAACAGTTAGAAAACTAGTTTCAACCAATGAAATTCACTCTGACTGATTTATGATTGCTGTGCGCATTGGTGCGAACAGACCTATTGAAAACAGTCATTTCTTTCATCATATGACTAAATTCGTATCGATGTATATATCGATAAGCCCTCTTCTACTAAAAAGAAGGAATGGGAAAAATGGGAAGATCCAGTGCATAACCTACGTTTCTTTGTCCACAAATTTTTGCTCACCTTCACTAGTAGGAGGTGTTGTAAATCAATGAACACTATAAAAGAAAAAAGGTAAGTCTCAATTTTGTAACTTTAGTTTGAAAAGAAGCTCAGAAATCATAATTTTTGTGGATTTTTTGAAATAGTGCGTAAAGTAATTCACTTTACACACGAGTACCTTATATATATTATAAAAGCCTTTACCGCCCATTTTTTCAATGATTTAACATTAAAAATGTTATTTTGCTTTACACCCTAAGGTTGTGAACATAATTACTTTAGACACTAGGGCGTAAAGTTGTGGTATATTTTTTCAAATTCATGACTTTATCTTGTTGGTAGCGAGGTTGGTAGGTAGCAAGGTTGTTAGGTAGCAAGATTGTTTGAGAGTGGTAGGTTGCGATAACTTTATGATGTCATCTGGGGGGCCGCAACATAATGCAAATCTCCATAAAGCACCCCAGATGCGTCATCGCATCGTTACCCATTACCAGACAGCCTATAAACTTTGCGAACCTTGGGTAGGTTGTAGATTTTTTGTTTGCATGCAACAGGTGTGTAAAGCACTTTTTCACATAATATGTGATTGTCAAAATTCACATTCCTGAAAAAAAGGTTCACTTTAAGTACACACTTGTTGTATAAATAGCTATTTCAGGATGCGTTTGGGATTGTCTCCTCGAAAAACTCTTATATTTTAGTCATTTAGGGATCTCGTTCCCAAAAACGGAGATCATACAGTGCATCTCAATAATTGAAACGAAATAATACTTGACTATCGTATGAATTTTTTTTAAGATTGCATATTGCGAGTTGTGGCCATAGATTCAAGAAATGTTGTACACTTTATTATCAAAGAAGTAGTTTTTCCAATTGCTGCAAGTCCTGTCACATCCTGCCAGGTCCTTAAATTTAACTTTCTTTTTCACTGTTATCGTTATAGGAAATGAATGCTGCTCCAACTCTTCTAATGTACTATGTTTCATATTACAAAGCATGATATTTCTCACAATGGATATATTTTTTTTTTGTTGAGAAAGTTAGAAACACATTGGAAGCAAGATCTTTAGGTTAGACCTCTCCTTGTGCTGCTATATTACTGCTTTGTCCTGCAACAAACCACAACCCAGCAGTTCCCACCATTTTTGAAATATATCGATTTCCATTTTGGTTGCTAACTTCTCCCTTGGCAACGCACTGAAAGCAGGATCGCTCAAAGATGTTCCTGCTTGTTTGCTATGGTCTTGCCTTATCTTGCTTCAAATCTGACCCCAGCAACATGTACTATTTTCAAGATCGTCACATTGAAGCAGGATCGCAGAAACATGTTTTTGCATGTATTGCGCATGTTATTACTTCGATTTCTACAATTAGGTACTTGCAGAGACATGATGGCCCAGTTGGAATAAACTAGGATTTGGAGCAAATGGATCCAGATTAATCTTTTTTTTTAAAAGATTTTGGAGAAGACGGGTTAGTTTCAATTCAATTGAAAATACCAACATACAAAGACAATAGCACTCATTACCTTACATTTCACCATGGTGTCTGGAGCTATCCCTAGCCCTACGACCCTACGACTAGACTATTGTAATGCTACCAGTGTGTATCTCAAAAATATTAGGTGTTGCTGGGGTGAAAACTGAAGCAGAATGAGGCAGGACCATAGCAACACAAGCAGGAACATGTTTTAGCGCTCCTGCTTTCAGTGTGTTGCCAAGGGTGAAGTTAACAACCATAATAAAAATTGCTGTATCTCGAAAATGGTTGATGCTGCTGGGTTGCGTTTTGAAGCAGGACAAAACAGTAATGTATCCGAGGATCCTGGTTACAATCCTAGTATTCTTTCGATCTGAATAAACTGATTGTGATCACATGAGGTTTGTTCTTGAGGCAGCAAACAGCTGGGGCCAATGAAATCGTTGTAACACCACCGGATGAAAATTCTTCGAAAAAAACCTCTAGTGACTTCGATCAGTTTGTTCAGATCGAAAGAATACCTTTATTTTGTTGTTAGGTTCCTCAATATTATATTTTCAGCAGTCACTGTTGAATCAGCCATTTCTGAAAAAAGTTACAAGTGACCCAAGAAGTTACCTTTGTCTTAATTTTGTTTCAGTAGCAAAGCGATTGTAGGTATTTTGTTATTTTTATTTATAAATGTTGGAGGTTCAGACAAAATTATGAAAATTTTGTAGTAATACACTAGTTTGTCAAACATCACTATTTTACTTCTGCCGAGTACAACATTCCTATTCCTATAAACAATTTTTTCCTTATTTCAGAAATATATTATAATATTGTATGTTGACGTTACTTTCAATCAGAGTTGGCAAAAATCCGGCTAATTGTTGTATAGTGGATAGATAATTGGATTTCTGATGTTTCTGGTGGATATTTGTGTTTTTGATATACGGGTGTACCATTTAAAAGAAACACATTTAAAAAATTAAATCTCTCGTACACGTAATTCGATTTTCAAAGTGGGAAATTTTCTGCAACCATTTTTAGCACTTCAACTTTAACCCTCTAGGCGGAGTGCGACCAACCCTTACTATTTCAAATGGAACAAATTGTCGAGTGATACCTCTTTCAAAAGAGGGTTCAATTCTCTTTCATTTAAAATAAAATTGAATGCTCTTTTGAAACAGGTATCACTCGACCCCGTGTTCCATTTGGAATGGTACCTAAGGGTTGATCCCATCTCCTAGAGGGTTAGGTAAGTGTTGAAAATGTTTAAAACACGATGGCCGTTTCCACCAACGCAAATTTAAGTTTACTTAACGTTAAGTGCCGCTTATATTATAGTTTCTTTTCCACCAGTCTAACCTAGTCTCATTAAGATAGGCTTAACTAAGCCCAAAAATGTCTAGGCTTATTCCTCCCTTAACAAAGTGGCGATGATAAGCGCAAGCCATTTGCATAATATATTTTTGTTGACATAAGAAACCTTGAAATTGAATTGAGTTAAAATTGGAATTTTCTCAATTTTCTAATTTCAGAGATACTCCGTGTTTTTTTTATTTTCGATCATGTTCTTATTTTTTGATGTTAGCGATATTATAAGCTCTTTTTCCTTTATGGTATAGTTTGGTGTCCGCCTTTTTTTGGATAAATTCTCCCTGTTTGTTTCTATTCCCCGACTCCACGCTGCTCTAGGCACCTTCGTGCTCGTTCACACACAATGCAGGATAAACTACCAATATCTTAACCTCTTCTCTGTGGAATAAACCGAACCCGGACAACAACAACAACTATCTATTAATAATTATAATCTTATAAAAATTAGCGGGACGCGACGAATGACAGATAACATTGACACGACTAGTGTAAAAACCATAGACAATAAAAAATAAAAAGACCTTCAAAAGTATAGCCGAAATAGGTTATACTATTACTGCGCATCCGGTTGCGCATAGCGCATTGCGGAATTTTTGGAAAGCTAAAGACTTACGAAAGATCATTCCGATCATTCGATTCTGTTTCATCTTTCTCTGTCATACCAATTCACAAGACAAGGACACAGTATGAGTTACAGAGCTTTCCTAGCTGTTTTGTAGAAACCTATCAAACATCCATAACTATAGAAACTGTGACAGAGAAAACAAATAAGTAACCTTAAAAGAACGACATTTCCGTGTTAAAATTTGTCATGTGTTTGTCATTTTTAACCGATTGGGCGGTCGTCTAAGAAGACTCGAACTCACAAAATCTAAAGAACAAAAAAAAGAAATTGTCATTTTTATTAAGTATCGGTATCGCGTACCTATAATATTATGTACAACTAGGATAAACTGAACCAGTAAGTATACATGTTAGTTTTGTGATATACGGCATATTTTTTTACTGTTTTAGGAGACCTCTGTCAGAAGAGATAAAATGTAGATGTTAGGCCTTGGACAGCTTAGCTTGTACATACATTAAGGCACGTATAAGGGATGTAATAACTGTGTTTGTAAACTCTTTAGATATTTGACCTATCTAGCTATAATATAAGTATATTTTTTCTAGTACAATTTAGTGTTTATTTTGCCTTTTTTTTAAATCTACATCAAAAAATGGCACAAAACTTTATGGAGTACCACATCATTTTTCTCATTCGGATTTGAGAAAAAAAGATGTGGAACAACATAAGTAAGTTTTTTGTGCAATCAACTCAAGTCAAATTTCAAAATTCCCGCCATTTCAGTATTTGTTCCGGCTGCCACTATTGACGCCACCGTCGCTGTGACGTCAGCGCTATACAAACTTTCATGTTATCAATCAGGTACTCTAACCTTGGTTTATTATATTTCTCTATGGTAAAAACTAAAAGTACGCAAATATTTCACCTGAAATGCAATGTTGCCAAAGCTTTACGACACTTAGCTAAGCTTGCACTTAAAAACTATGGTGGAACGAAATTACATTTGAGTGTCCCTTAACTTTTAAGGGCCTCATAGTTAAGTAAAGCTTAGCTATAGTTTGGTGGAAATGGCCATGACACAATCAAATTACGGGTACGAGCGATTTAAAAAAAAAATGAAAGTGACATCGGATTTTTAGCCTATTTAGTTTTAGATGGTATACCCTGTATACCTTCCTATTTTTATGAATTAAATCCTAAGCCTAAGATTTTCGAACAGATAACTACAAAAGTATCAAAGGGCGCTTAAGAATATTTGAAAGAGAGAACTTCTAAAACATTATAGCGCTTCAAAATCACTAGGGAACCAATTAAAAACTTTGGAAAGCATTTTAAAAAGCTTCAAAATGCCCTCCCGCCAATTTAGAAGCATTTTAAAATGCTGTAGAGCAATTTAGAAATTTGAGAAGCCTCAGAAGACTTTCAATTTAATTTTCAATCATCATGCATTTGTTTGAGACAAATTGGAATATTTGAAAACATTGTAAAACGTTACAGAAACAATTTAGAATCTCTGGAACACTCTAGAACAGACCAAAACACTTCTGAACTTTCGGCAATATTTTGGAAAGCTTTTGAAACACTCTAGAACACTTTACAAATCATATGGAACTTTTGGAAACAATCTGGAAACTTAACTGGAAAATCGTTACATGACACTTCAGAACTAACTTGAAACTTCCATGAACATACAAGAACCTTCTTAAATACTTCTGAACTTATTTAGAATTTTAATTAGAAGTATCAAAAAGCGCTCAAGAATATTTGGGACATTTCTGATATTTCTAGAACATTCCGGCGTATCGAGAGTATTAAGCAAGCAACCAATTGAAAATTTCTTCAATTCAATTTTCAATCTCCCTGCATTTGTTTGAGACAAATTGGAAGTTGCAGGAACATTGTAAAACGCTACGGAACACTTTAGAATCAAATAAGAATTTCAGAAACATTCTGGATCGAACCAGAACACTTCCAAACTTTCGGGAACAAGAAAAGCTTGAGATATTTCAAAGTTTAGGTTTAGATCCAAGTTAAAATTTCCAGGAGTATTTTGGAACGCTCTAGAATACTTCACAGATCGTGTGGAACTTTTGGAAACGATCTAGCACTGGAAACTTTCAGTATATCTTGAAAATCGTTACATGATACTTTAGAACTAACTTAAAACTTTCATGAACATATTAGAACACTTTAAAACATGTCCAGACGTTAGAATTTCAATTAGAAGTTGTCTACACATCACTGATAAGTATTATCCAGTAATTTTTATTCCCAAATTTTCTAATGGCCGTTTTCACCATCTATTTTAGGGAAGCCTTATTAAAGATAAGTAGACAGTTTTCCATGGAGAAATGTCAGTTTAAGGAATACTTATCGTTGGCTTCCCTAAATTAGTTGGTGGAAACGGCCATAAAAGTAACATTTTACAAAATCTTACCCTAATAGTTATTGAAGAAATTTGAATCAAAAATAGCAATTATGTATGCATGAACAATTTTTCTTAATATCATCATCATTCTCAGCGCATCTCAGTCCACATTTGGACATACGCCTCTCCAAGTTGTCTCTATCCGGTTCTGTGGCCTGTCTATGGTCTATGGTATAGTAAGATCTATGGTTTCCATAATATCGTACCTTGCCGACCTTAGTGGGACACCCTGTATATTATATAGGTATATACAGGGTGCTCCTTCATATCATGTACAAACAGAAGGGGTGATTCTTTGGTTTATTTTATGACTAAAATTTCTAATGAACATAGGTCCGCAAACGCTTCGTTACCGATCTACAGGGTGTTGAAATTTTAATCTATTTATATTGAAAATGAGCAAGAATATGGCGGCGAGGGAGTGGCTTACTTCTAGATTCCTATTGAAAATGGGCAAGAATATGACGGCGGGACCTGTAGTCTGGCCACTGTAGGAAGAAAGGGTTTATTTAGTCACTGTAGTTTCATCTAGCTAATTACAGGTATAAATGTGTTTTTTAATTTTTTTCTCGATAAGGGTGGGTGATTCGAAAAAACTACAAGAGAATAAAAAGTGTCTAAATAAGGTAGATTAATTATTTTGTTTTTTAGACTCTACCAGCGGCGCATCGCAGAAAAGTTCAGGGGTAGAAAAAGGAGCATGACTCCTGGAAAAACACCAGTCTGTAGATTATGGCAAACGTTTGACATATGCAATCATTTAGCTCCTATTGCATAATCTATATTCCAAATTTGAGCTAAATCTTTCAAAAATTGCAGAAGCTATAAGGAAAAAACTAAAAAAATATTAAAATTTCAACACCCTGTAGATTGGTAACAAAGCGTTTGCGGACCTATGTTAGAAATTCTAATTAATTTTAATTAATTAAATCCCTTCTGTTTGTACATGATATTTGGGAACACCTTGTAGAATATATCATATATTTTTGGTAAATCAGGAAAAGAATGTCTATTGCATTATTAGAAAATATACAGGGTGTCACTGTTCAGTATTATACAAGGTATTACCTAAATCTTGGTTGGACGTTGGAAATTATATGCTGAGTGGTTTATATCCTATGCTGTCATGATTAATAAAGTTATAACGCTTTTCACAACTGCTCTAATTTTTTTCCCAATAGCAATAGTCTTATTGTCTATGAAAACGTGTAATATTCAATTATTCCTTTCAGCTAATGGATTAAATGGAATCAGCATAAATCCACGGTGAAGAAAATATTGTAAAAATGGCTGAATCAAACGTTCCTCTCAAACCCTTGAACAAGGAGTTTGTAGATGAAAAATTAGCACTAGAAATAATTGAAGTGTTTCCCAGCATTTCACCCGATTACTTGAGAAATATTTGTGCAGCTAAACAATGGTCACAAGATACTTTCAAAGAAATGATAGCCACAATTTTGACCACAGAAAATGTTCCCATAAGACCTGAGAGACTGGTTTCGAAAGGAATTGATCCCCAACAGCAATTGGCCAAGCTCAAATCAATTTTCCCTGACGCAGATCCGACATATTTGAAACGAAAAGTTAACGAATTAATTGGCAACAAAAACTATCCCACCATGAAGGAGTGTTTGCAATTATCTGACCAACATAAACAGTATACATCTGAATTCAATGTGGAAAAGTTTGTGGAAATTTTTCCAGATCCGGTAGCTTTTTTTGAAGATCCTAACCGAAAAATTAATATTGAAACTGATGACAAGTACTACATCAAATGGTTCCTGAGAAAGAAATACAGCCAACTCTATGTCAAAGACATTAATTATGCTGTTGACTTTGCTGGAAATACTAATATTTTTGCTATGGTAAACTATTTAGAAAAACGCCTTAAAGACGGTATAACGAGCTCAGTGAGAGTGACCACCACTACTATGAGTGAGACCCCCATACAAAACATACCATTGCTTCAGGAACTTGCCTACTTTGAGCATAAAGAAGAAATACTGAGGTATTTGGAGGAAAAAAATGATCAAGCAGCAAAACATGAACTGGAAACCAAACAAATGGGTCTTATGCATTATTGTAGCTGCTGTTTCGACGATCAAGTTATGCCGTTAGATATTCTCACTTGCACTGGAGGCTGTAGATTCTGCAGAGAATGTATCAAACGTAGCTCCGAAATAGCTTATGGTGGTGGCAAAATTAATTTCCCTTGTCTTAATAATGGGTGCGACGAGGAATTCGGTTTACAGGTGCTACAGAACGTGTTGGATCCAAAACTATTTTCAAAAATAGCACAAAAACAGGCTGCGGCTGAAGTTAAAGCTTCAGGATTGAAAAACTTAGAATCCTGTCCTTTTTGCGATTTTGTCAGCATTCTAGCTCCTGAGGAAAAAATATTTCGATGCCTGAGTACTGATTGCATGAAAGAATCTTGCAGGCTCTGCAAAGAACCTTCTCACTTACCGTTGCTATGTGATGAGGTCGAAAAAGACGAAGCAGTCAAAGCAAGGACTTTTATCGAAAACAAAATGGCAGAAGCATTGATGAGGGAGTGCTGGAAATGCAAAACCAAATTCATCAAGGAAGACGGTTGCAATAAAATGACATGTCCTTGCGGAGCAATGACGTGTTACATCTGTAGAAAACCTATCAAAAACTACCAACATTACAACGGGCAAGGTGGCGACCAATCCAAATTATGTCCTTTGTACAGCGAAAATATACTAAACAACGAAAAAGAAGTTTTAGAGGCGGCCATGGAAGCCAAAAAGCAGGTGGACCCGGCGAAATTGAAAAACGATCCGACTGTCGCTGTTCAAAAGTTTGCTGATAAAATTAAACAGGCAGAGGTGAGAATGGAACAATACCGGCAACAGGTGGCTCACTGGCGTCCAGACGCAGGGTTCTTGGAAGGAATGCAACGTATCCATGAGGGCTTTTTGATGGGAATGAATCTGGGTTTGCCGATGTTTTTTCCATTCGATGTTCCACTTGACGACCCATTTCTGTTGCAAGTCTGGCGTTTGCAGAGGCAAATGTTGTTTGGACCAATGGAACGAGGAAACAATAATTAATAAATGTTAGAGCACAATGGGCCAATATTTTTAGTTGTTAGTAATCCTGTGCCTTTTGTGTCTATGCAAAATAAGAAACTATTTTTAATACCCTAGTGGCAAAGTGCTTTTTTTTTGTTATCGCATGTGAACTGAAGTAGATACAAAATCATTGCAGATTTGATTAACAAGTCTGTCAATTTTTGGAACACCATTCCTGGATTAATTATAATTAATACACCTTTAGTAGCAATAACTGGAATGGAAATTTCGCTGGGGTATTAAAAATAGTATATTTTCACTCAAACCAAACTAAATCTGTGATGTAACTTTTTGTAGGAATGTTTGAATCGAGGTTTGAATCATCTGAATTGGAAGTTAATACCATTAATTGACCAGATTGATTATCGTACCTATAGCTACATCTACAGTTAGTAATGGTTTATTGATGCATATTTATTTGTGCCTTATAATTGTAAGGACTGACTTTTAAAAAAAGTTTTATTGTAATAAAAATGTCATCATTTGATGAAGTGAACACAAAGGCTGTTTTAAAAAATTATAGACTGGCTAGATTTTGTAGTAAAATAGTTTTGTTCTTGCTGTAAATACCTACTGCTCTGAGCAAAATTTTAACAAGTATTTTTTCGTTCTGACACGGTTTTACAGGTTGTTTCCTCAATTTTTCCTGATAAAATTGTATGGTATACAGTATTAATAGAATAGTTTTCCTTATTTTATGTTGAAATTCGTTTTAGTACCAAGATTTTATTGACTAGCAAGTAGTTTAGTTTGTAGCGTTGTTTTTCCTATAACTGATTGAGGTAAAGTTTGAGCTGAAAGTTGTCCGTGAAAAAAAACATTCCAACCAAAGAACTGTATTGGGGTAATCCTAAAAACTCCATATATGTCACCTATTATGTGTTTTTTTTTGTGGTAAATCTGAAGTTTGTTAGAATATTTTCATGTGTTTGGTTTTATAATTGTCAAAGACATTAGATAAGGTATATGTATTCAGAAATACTTTATCCCAATATGAATTCTATAATGTGATTAAAATATTATGCTTATTACTTTAAAGTGCGACAAGTGAGTGAACCTTGGTAACGTATGAAGTAGCAGAGGGGAAGACGAAAACCTATACTATACGACGTGATGGGTCCTCGAAGTGGTGCATGGCGAAAATTGCGGTTACCCTGACGCGACGACCCGCGTATATGTATATTTAATCTCGGGCCTATCAGGAGGGTTCTGCCCCCATTCCTTCCACACAGGTTCACTCACTTGTCGCACTTTACTTATGAATAATAATGGAGGCTGTGTCCTTTATTTTCTTATAATGTAACTTGTATATAAGATCAGGTTTAAAGTGTATTCTGTGAAAAAAAATTCCTTCTTTGTGCTGTGTTGATGAGTTCAAAAAAATAAATAAAAATTTGCCCATCATTTAGAAATGTATTTATTTCTATATGACGTAGTTATTTTAGAAATAGTAATGGTTTCCTGTTTGTAAATTGAATTAAAGAAAATATTTTGTTACTGAAGAAATATATAGATTTTTTTTTACGAATATGTTTTATTTTTGTTCAATTTTTCCGCTAGTGAAATCTGCTAGTTTACAGAATTATTGTTTGCCCAAGGTAAGCCTCAATATTTCGACACTAGAGAAAGATATGCTGCTTGAAGTTCTTTAGACTTTTACTCAATCAAAATGTTTCCAAAATAGGCATGTTTCAGACAAAAAGATTTCCATTTCAATGTTGAGGAAATACAGTATCAAACAAGTCTGAATATGAATGAAACTTCTCATTAATTTCTAAGAATATAACTCATATTCTTGAACTTACTAGTGCAGTGCCAGGACTTTCAGGAACAACTGTATTTTCTGTTTTTTTATAAGACTTATTGCAGTTTCTGTAACACTAAGCATCTTCCATAATCATGTAAATTGTCTTTCCTTAGATTTTGCTGATCTGCTTGGCCCTGCTCTTAATTTTCATCATTATTGTTAATCGCTTCTTCAACTCTCCTATTTTTATCTTTCGTATTGCCTTTTTCATTAGCAGGATTTTCCTTAGAAATACTATTAGTTGTTGTTAATGCAACTATTATTTTTTCCTCGATTTTTTCAGTGTTCTTTGTAGGTTGTTTTTCCAGATTCCAATCTGCAATTTTTCCTGTTCTTATTTTAGATACTTTTTAGGAACTTCTTGAGCTTTGTGCGGTGAGTTTCCAGCTTCCATTTGATATTGTCAACTACTTAAGTGAATACCACTCTGTACATCAATTTTACTAAAGTGTGTCAACGAGTCAGCATTAATTTGGTATAAATACCGCGCCGAAATCCATTACTGGCAGACTGACTGGTGCAAAGTACCTCAATTGGGAAAAGCTCCTCTAGCTAAGTCTCCACCCAGTGCAAATTACCTTTATTGGGAAATGCCCTTCTGGAATTGTCTCAACCCAACTTCGGTCTTCAGTCGCGCCAAGTGTACATACAGAGTGAACATAATACAGAATGGCCTATAAGTAGTAAGTCCGTCTGTAGAAGTCAGATACTATTTCTAGGGTAATATTATTATTATTCAATACATATCTTATTGTACCTATACCAGGTGAGTTTCTCTCTACCTGAACCCCACCTACGCCCCCAGGTAAGGCCCCTGTTGTGACTTCCCAGGACAAAACGTACAGGGGTTGTGACAATATTGAATTGCTGAAATTGCTTGTAGAATAAAAAATATGTTCAAATGACCTCCTATTACTATTTAATTTTTTCCAAGCAGAGGGAGACTTGTCTAGGTATATTTTTCAATAATAAATAAGTAAACCCAATAAAATTAAGACTGGGTACATAAATGTCCTAACATATAATATATTAGGTATAATTCATGCTCTATTAGGTCTGTTCCAATTCCGTTAAAAACCATCCCATGAACGGTTGCGGAACTTCTGTATAGGAATTTCAGATTCCACTCACAACTTTTCGGCTTTGCGCAGAATCATGACGGTACATTATATGTGTTGGAACATAGCCATAGTGTTCTATTGCCATTCCCAAAAAAAATTCTCTTGGACAATATAATTAGATTTTTGTATCTGCATTTTTACATTAGGTGTATGTGTTACGAAAAAATAATAAAACAAAAAAATTATGTTCATTAACTACTATTTGATATGATTAACAACTTCCTTCAACAAACATTTTTTCACAATTGCAGCAATACTATCGCAAGATTTCGATAAAACAGTTATGTAATTTTTAAGTTGATCCCCTGGGATAAATCCTGTTTGGTGCACCTGACATATTTGCTCGTTGGCGTGCAATTTCGAAATAATAATAGTACCATAATGGGACTTTTCTCCTGCAACTTGTATTTGACCAGTCATCTTTCTTAATGAATCTATTTCATTACTCCTGCATATTTCTAGGGTCATTGAAGTGATGATATCGAACATGGGCACTCCAGCTTCAGCTAAAGCAACCCCAGCTGCGATTATGGCTCCGCTCAAAGCGGAGCCATCGTTTTGTAAAACTAGTGAATGTATAGCCACTTGGAAGTTTGGTATTTCATGCAAACAAACTGCAGATTCTAAAGCTTTTTTCATTATGAGGCTGTTGCGTTTTTCTTCGTTGTCTTGCTGGTGCAATCTTCTTTTGGTGCAGCTGAAGGGGGCATATTTGAATTCGCACGAAATCTCGCCCTTCAAGCTGTAATCTTGTTTGTTAGGGATTTCTTTTGGGTCAAACACTGTTACTATTATTTTGGTTTCGCCGATTTCTATGTAGGCTGATCCTTTTGCTTGGCTTACAGTACCAGTTTTAAGATCTAATGAAAGAAACAATTATTAAGGTTTGAGGAGAATTGTTTGAAATAAACTTACATATTTTGGGATGTTCTCTGCTTATATCTGAATCCTTAGTAACTTCGTCGAGGGTTTTTATTTCGACAGTTTCTTGCTTGTGCCTTAGGAAAAGTTCGTAGGGCACACTTTCTTCTGGGCCATTTAATCGCTTGTGGTCAAGAGGCATTTTTTTTTCGGAGTAATTGAACAAGAGGAGCTCTAGGAATTCTAAGATACACAATTTATGTTGAATTTAGAACTTTTTTTCATAATAATCGCAGTGCAAGTGCACATAACATTTTTGAAATTTGTGGGGTTAAGTTATTTGTTGTGAAAAATAGTTGCGTTCAACTGGCGTAAAACTTTTTCGGCCTACACCGTTCGTTCGGTTTGATCCGAGCAGTCCAAGCATGAATTTACCGTTCGTTTATTTAAAAACGTGTGCTCGGTGCAGGCTCATTCGCGTTTGTTTATCAAAATTTCGAGAGCTAAATACAGCGTTCAACTGCTCTGTGCGCCCGCAAGTCACGTGAGTAGTTCCTTTCAAAAGTTTGAAACACTCGAGCTACTCGCTCCAGTGTTTAGTAGCCCCTCGATTTGCAGGGAACAGATGCGTGGTGTAACAAACACTTTTCGAAAGGAATAAAGCCTAGTACTCATAACTGCGAAATTCGCATTTTTTTGACATTGTGTTGACAATTTGACGTTTGATACACGCATAAAACGTCAAATTGTCAAAAAAATGCGGTGTGCTTAAAGCGCGTGAAGCACCGGAGCTGTTCCAGAGCTCCTCCTAGGTGTGAAAGGAATACAACTATTACGACTCCTCTTCGACTGACTTCAGCTTTAAGCCTAGTACTCATAGGGCGCGTTTGGGTTCACGCTCGGTGCACTCAGAGCTTGCACTTTTGTCTCTCTTCCGTTATTTTTGAGGCTCCGACAACGCTTGATTGTGTTTGGTTTGACATATTTTGAGCGCTCAGAGCGAGCTCGATAAACTCCGAGTTTGTGGAGTGGGCAGCTGGAGCGTGCATGCGCAGATCAGATGTGTTTAATCTGTCTTCTTCTTCCATGATAAGATAAATAAACAATGCTGAATTTTAACACATCCTTGTTAGGTGGATAGTTTTAGCTATTTTGTTTAAATGTTAACAATCAAATAGCTAGTGAAATCTGCATGATTGTTCACTTTTAATTAATTTTTTTTCGATAGTCCTCATTACTGGTATTATTGAACATATTTTTCCAAGGGAACTTGGCAGCCTCAGAGTGTTTAGGTCCGTTTTATTGTTTATGTAGCACGACATTTTCTGCAGAATATAAACGAAAATGGGGCAGTTTGAAAATTATCAACTAAAATGCAAAACAAACGAGAAAACTCTAGTGCAAATGCGGAATGCGGGCTCGGAATCCAAAAAATATATGCTAAGAAAAATAAATAATAATGAGCTGATCGCTCAACCCAGCATTTTTGCACAAGTTTATTTGGCTTGACACGGTGTACTCGCTGTGACGTCACGTTACTCCGTAATCGCTCTGCTCGCTCCGCCGAGCGTCAACCCAAACACGCCCATAGCTGCTGCGAAATTCGCTCTTTTTTACATTGCTCAGACAATTTGACGTTTGATTCACGCATAAAACGTCAAATTGTCGAAGCAATGTCAATAAAGTGCGAATTTCGCAGTTATGAGTACAAGGCTTTACACTCGATGAACTCCGAGCGCGCTCGAAACGATAAGTCCCTATTCCTCTGGACGCGGATTCTGTGCTCTATCGCTTTCTACATGATGAATTCTAGTGTCCATTTCTACATTTAAGGGGAAATTGTATAGAAAACGGTACACGGAATACAATCGAGCACGTACGTACCCTAAGCTCGCTCTCTTTTCCCTGGGGCCCGATTCTCGTCTCAGGGATGAGTAGAGCTTCCAGAGAGCACTAATTTTTCGTTATCATTTTTGTTTACTTTTCTACGTTGACAAGGACAAAATATTCGTTCTATGGGGGAGTTCTACTTCCAGAGACGAGAACCGGGCCACAGTTCAGGGCGACTCTGCGTATGACGTCACGATATCATGCTCATACCATTTCGCTCCGCGGAGTGCAAAGCCGAGCTTAACCTTCAGTACGCTCTGCTCCGAGCAAAATACTGAACGCCATCAAAAGAAGCAAAGAAAAATTAAAGTTTATAACCTAAGTTTTTTTAGGCGCGAAATTTTGCTTTTGCTTGTTTATGTTTAAAATGTTTATTTTTTAGTTTGTTTTTAAATAATTTTCTATATTTGTGTATTGTATAACAAATGGACACTACAAGAAAAAATAGGTAAATCAGAATTTGGTATCTATCAAGTTTTCAATTAATTGGAAAGACTAATATAAGGCCGAAACGTCGGCGAATTTTTTGATCAAGGAGATTGATTCATAGTCCTAAACCTTACTATCATCATCCACTACTTTAAAAAATAAGCTAAATATTTAATAATATATCTTCAAATGACAGCACTGAGAAAATATATGCGCAATGCTTTTCCGACAGTTTGAAAACTGTGAAGAACTCTTGTGAGAACAGACCTCGGAACAGACCTAACATTGTAACTTTTTTTTTAACATTCCCAACTCGATTCCCAAAGATTTTAAAGATTGAATTTTAAACTTAATTGACCATTAGTCAATATCCTTTATACAAAATAAAATTATACTGGGTGTTTGAATAACTTGAAGTAAGTACTTACATGAGGATTTAGGAAACCATTGAAGATACAGGGTAGAGCATGGGGAAAAAGTTGTTGCCTAATCAAGTGCAGAAAAATAATCTGTCATCAACTTCTTTGAACTTGGATTAGCAACAGATATACAGTTTAGTATATCTTGTTTATTATAAAAGATAGAATACAATCAAGAAGTTTAAAAAAGTTGATAACAGATTATTTGTAGGCACCTTATTGTGCAATTTTTACCCCATTTGGCTCGCACATTTGGTCCACCCTGTATCCTCAATGGTTTCTAAAATTCTCATGTACTTCAAGAAGTTATTCCGGACCGTCTGACATTAAACTTATTTTTGTGTATTTATTTTCATTTAAAATTATTCTCATTGCTTTATTCTGCAAAATCTGTTATTTATCGAATACTCCTTGATTCACAGAATAAAGACTGATGACACAATATAGTCATAGTCAATTATACTTTATTATTTCAAAAAAAAAATTCTATTGACAAAGCATTAATTCAAAAGTAAACCAGAAGAAAAACAATCACCAATAGTACAACAATGTAAATACAAACAAGTTATAAACAATTTGACAAATACTTAGGACCGTGATCGAAGCAATATTACATATACTTAAAACTATACTAAAATGATAAAATGTAAATAAAAAACAAAAGTATCAAAAACAAAATAGTATATTATATACCTAGGTAGAGAAGTTGGTCAAGTTGGCCTCAAGCATTATAAAAGCTTTCGGTATATAATGACTTTCTCTACCGAGGAATATATAGAATTTTTTTTACTACTGCTAGTAGAAAATAAAAAAATTGTTTAAAATCTGTGCTCTAATTATTTTTTGTGAACGCCCTCTTGAAAGTGCTGCCCTCTATCAACAGCTTATATACCTTCCTATGTACCTACAGAAACCTGTATTTTTTTTTCAAATTGATGTATGAAATTGAAATTGAACCAATAGAAACATGACAATATCCTTGAGTCATGACGTCATTTTCATTATTGACCTAGGTATTTTTTCATTATTTTCATTATTAACCTAGGGAGAGAAATTCAATTTTTTCTAAGAAAAATAGATTGAATAATGTCTATTTCTTAGGTTAGTAGTAAAAAATAGTATATTATATACCAAGGTAGAGAAGTTGGTCATTATATACCGAGCGCTTTTATAAACCGAGGCGCGTAGTGCCGAGGTTTATAATGCGTAAGGTATATAATGACTTTCTCTACCGAGGAATATATAGAATTTTTTTTACTACTGTTAGTAGAAAATAGAAAATTTGTTTAAAATCCATGCTCCAATTATTTTTTTTGAACGTCCTCTTGAAAGTGCTGCCCTCTATCAACAGCTTATGATAACTTCCTATGTATCTACAGAAAACTGTATTATTTTTTTTTATTGACGTCTGAAATTGAAATTGAACCAATAGAAACATGACAATATCCTTGCGTGATGACGTCATTTTCATTATTGACCTAGGTATTTTTTCATTATTTTCATTATTCACCTAGGGAGAGAAATTCAATTTTTTCCTAGAAAAATAGATTGAATAATGACGATTTCTCAGGTTAGTAGTAAAAAAAAGGTTTTATAGTCATACAGTGTCACTATAGTAGTCCTCCAACCTGTAGTAAGCCATTTGCAACAAAATATCCTTAACATTCCTACGAAATAGTTTGTAGTTTCTAATGGTTTTAAGTTCATTACTTTGATGGTTATGGGCCGAATTTATAGTCGTTCCTTGTCTCTTCCTTGGAGGTCGTGAGTTTAGAATGGACACTTGCTACTATTTGACAAGTAAGGCATGTCAATCTAAACGTTCAAGACTTTCTTAAGGTCTGAGGAAACCTCAAGGAGCTATAAATTCGGCCCTAACCCTTTTTTTGCTGTCATAGAATATTGAGTGTTTTGCTAAAGCAGACTTTGGTATAGGTGAGCCTATATCAGTGTTCGAACTCAGTCTAGTGTTGTACCCAATATCCAAAGTTTCCAAACCTAAATATTTCCTGTGCACAAGACACAGTTTCTTACGAAGGCGTAGAAGGGACACCCAACTTTTTTTTTCTCAATTTTTAAAATTTCGACTTATAACTCGAAATTTTATAGTAAAATTTCGTGATATAACTCGAAATTTTAAAATTTCGACTTATAACTCGAAATTTTATAGTAAAATTTCGTGATATAAGTCGAAATTTTAAAATTTCGAGTTATAAGTCGAAATTTTAAATTTTCGACTTATATCACGAAATTTTAAAATTTCGACTTATAACTCGAAATTTTAAAATTTCGACTTATATCACGAAATTTTACTATAAAATTTCGCCTTATAACTCGAAATTTTATAGTAAAATTTCGTGATATAAGTCGAAATTTTAAAATTTCGAGTTATAAGTCGAAATTTTAAATTTTCGACTTATATCACGAAATTTTAAAATTTCGACTTATAACTCGAAATTTTAAAATTTCGACTTATATCACGAAATTTTACTATAAAATTTCGAATTATAAGTCGAAATTTTAAAATTTCGAGTTATATCACGAAATTTTACTATAAAATTTCGAGTTATAAGTCGAAATTTTAAAAATTGAGAAAAAAAAAAGTTGGGTGTCCCTTCTACGCCTTCGTAGTTTCTAAAACGAATAGACATGATACAGTTAAAAAAAATTCCCTAATAAATAACAGTTGACATGGCGGACGGTGTGTTGAGTGAGGAAAATGTTCCTCCCGATATTTACTATAAATGTCATCCTAAATAGCAATTAAAGGCAGTTTTTTGTTTATTATGTAATAATGCATATCATAGAAGTGATTTTGAGAGGATAATTAAAAAAGGTGCTGTATATGTTGCAAAAGCCCTTGTTGTTTGTGATGAACATAAAGACATAACCTTAAAAGATTTTAAAAGTAAAAGTGAAAGTGAAAATTTGGATAATTTAAAAATAAGTGTTGCTTATTTGAGGGATAAGTACACAAAATTAAATAGGAAGTATGAAGATTTGAAGAACAAGCAGGTGAAGAAGGACACAATGGAAATAAACTCCATGAAAAATGAGATACAACAAGAACGTGTGAAAAATCAGCAATTAGAGAAGAAAATAGCAGACTTACAACAGAAAAATGATAACTTTGGGATGTTAGACGTTGAACCACCAGTCGACAATGAAAAGGAATTGAAAGCAAAAGGAGATAACCTTATGATGGAAGAAAACAAGTTTTTAAAACTGCAAGTCAATGTTTTAATAGATCAAAACAACACATTAAAGGAACTGAACTCTGAATTAAAGGATAAAAACTTATTACAACAACATCTCATTCAAGAACGGACTAGCACCAGCTATGCAAAGGCAGCATCAAATAACATAGACACATTGAACCAGCTACAACAAAAATCCGAAATACCAGCCATAGTGGTTGAAACCTTCAAACCAGAAGAATCAAGAGCTATGGTAGAGAAGATTAAAAGCACACTCGGTAAGGAGCAGATTCCTTTAAACCTAGTTGTAAGTAAAAACAAGAACAAAGTTATTGTTAGCTGTAAAAATAAAGACAATGTAAACAATGTTTTAGATTTAATTAATGGAAATTCGAATAACAAATATACTGCTAAAATAGAAACTAAAACTAATCCACTACTAAAGGTGGTTGGTGTAGAAACAAACTTAACAAATTATGACGAAATAAAAACTGAAATTTTGATCAAAAATGATTTCGAACATGATCATAATATTGATATAAAATATGTTTACACATCCAGAAAGGGTACTAAATCTATCATTATGCAAGTGGATGAAGAAACATACAAATGTCTTATGAAAAATAGGAAAGTATACATAGGTTTCCAAAGATGTCCAATTTTTGATGAATTCAATGTTAATCAATGTTATAAATGTGGATTTTTTGGGCATAGCAGCAAGAAATGTCGGAACAAAGCTAGTTGTTTAACATGTGCAGGGGACCATAGCACAGATATTTGTGATACACAGGAAATTAGATGTATCAACTGTATAAATGCCAACCACAAACTAAGTCAAAAAAGGTCAGTATTGCATGCTGCAAATGATTTATTAAAATGTGAATCCTATAAAGTCCTTATAAGAAGGGTGATTGACAAGACTAACTACCCTATAAAACCTATAACTAAATAATGGATACAAACAAGAATTTAATAATAAAAGATATTGATAACTTAAATAACGAAATCACACATAATAACTTAATTATTTTGCACATAAATATCCGAAGTATTAATAAAAACCTCCAACAATTATGGGTAAACATAAATATGATGAAGATAAAGCCACAAGTAATAGTATGTTCAGAAACGTGGAAAGTCGAAAATCCTAATTTTTATAAACTGGATGGATATGTGAACTATTATAATTATAGTCATATAAACCAAAATGATGGAACAATGATTTATCTTGATGAGAACCTTGATGAACAAACTGAGGTGATTGAAATTGGGCAGGTCAAAGCTTTGAGAACTCACTTAATAACCAAAGAGAAAAAAATGGTTTTAACAACAATGTACCGATCGCATGATGTTAATGTTGCTGATTTTGTGACCAACTTAGAAGATTACCTAAAAGCAATAAA